GTTAAAGTTTTTGGAGCAGATGTCATTTTGAAGTAACTATAAACCCTATATTGACTAAACTTGCATGGATGATACATCTAAGGATGTACACTACTGGACTTGCTTCAGATGCTGGATTTGACTTAATTTTCCGGATGAGTGACCAGGTTAAAGTTTTTGGAGCAGATGTCATTTCCAAGTAACTATAAACCCTATACTGACCAAACTTGCATGGATGATACATCTAAGGATTCACACTACTGGACTTGCTTCGGATGCTGGATCTGACCTACATTTTCTGGATAAGTAACCAGGTTAAAGTTTTTGGAGCAGATCTCATTTCCAAGTAACTATAAGGCCTATCTGAACCAAACTTGCATGGATGATGCATCAAGGGAAGGACAATCTCAAAACTTGCTTCGGATGCTGGATTTGACTTACACTTTCTGGATGAGTGACTAGTTTTAAGTTTTCATATAAGTCTATTTCCAAGTAACTGCAAGCCCTATCAGACCAAAATTGCCTAAATGTTGCATCTAGGGATGCACACTCCTAGATTATTAGTTTAGTGTGGGACTTTGCCTTACTTAAAGACAACATTCGTTAAGGTGAGCTCTGTAATCTCTGATTACCTATGTTTTGATAGTCCATAGTACATGTACATATAAATAATCAAATACTTGTGACTTTTAATTTACTTCTTACAAAAACATTTTTGAGAAAAACTGCATATAAATAGCTTTACCAAGCTATTTTGAATACATTAGTAAAGGTATATAACAAAAAAAAATAAAGCTATGTAGCTAAATCAAGAGATTGTGCTGAAACTGAAAAGATCAGGTTGACTGAGGATTTGATAGGTGAGTGGGATTACACATGCACATATGTAAGGGGGGATGGTTCCAGAACCAACACCACCACCCCCTCCTGGATTTTGCAGAGTTATTAAATGTATATACTAAAGCAACTAAAAGTGACAATGGACACCCCTAGAAAACACAGATCCCTGTTAAGTTGGTAGGAAAAGTCATACAGATGAAGCTTGCTCAATAGGTTTTTAGCTCACCTGAGCCAAAGGCTCAAGTGAGCTTTTCTGATCAAAATTTTTCCGTTGTCTGTGGTCGTTGTCGTCGTTGTTGTCATTAACTTTTCACAAATTCATCTTCTTCTCCAGAAGCAGTGGGTCAATTTCAACCAAACTTGGCACAGAGTATTCTTGGGTGAAGGGGATTCAAGTTTGATCAAATGAAGGGTCATGCCCTCTTCCAAGGGGAGATAATTACAAGATAGTGAAAAATTAATGGCATCTTTTAAAAAGCTCAGTTGGTAGAACTCTCGCTCTGTTATCGGAAGGTTGTGTGTGTGACCTAAGTGGATGAAAAAGGGGTAGCAACTGTTCCTTCGCCAAGCACTCAGCACTTTGAAGTGAAAGTTGCGGGTCCTTTTCATGAGACCTGAGTGCCGAGTAAAGGTATAAATATGAAGCCCTTCACCAATATATAGTGACTTCTCTATATGAGTGAAAAATTCTCGAAACGGGATGTAAAACAACATACAATCAATCAATCAGTCCAACCCGTTTATGACAATAATCAGCTATAGTACACTATCTTGCAATAGATCCATGTGTAGAGAAATGTCTTGACATACAGTTGAAATCAAAATAAAGAAATAAGCTCCGTAAAACAAACAAGATAATTAAGTATGTCCAAACCTACCAATTTGATACAAAGTGATGAAATATGATCATGTTTATCTTCAGAGGTATTCTAAATTTTAAAAATGATAAACTCCAATATTTTTATGACTATTTTTCATCATTATTCTTAAAAAAAATGATGAATTGTGGTCATTATTAAAAATCAATTTTATGAGGCCATCATTAAAAATATCTTTGTTTCCCCCTACCCGACCCAAAAATCTCAAGTTGGGTAGGTAGGTTGGCAAATAATTTTTTTTTTTTTGACAGCAGCTTTGAAAATACATTCTTAAAATTAAATGGAATGATACCTGTATAAGTCAGGGGTGAGACTGAAATCCGTCATTTCTGAAAAATGATGGATAATCGTCATATTTACTAACTACGTATTTTTGTCATTTTTGTCAATATGACTTACTATCGTCATATTTTCTTTTTCAACTTAATTCTTCTATCCTGGTTACATAAAAGCGAAATTTGAATTCACCGCTGAAAGAAGAGTGTTTACACAAGTTTCATTTCATACGGGTCACTAATTACTGCCGACCACGTTTGTGAAGAACATCAACATGGAAGGTGAAAGTTATTATTTAGCGGTAAAATGTTGAATTTTGCTAGAACTAATTCGCCATTTTTACATGGCTTTTAGTCCTATAAAAACATATAGTACACCTTCTGGAAGAGTACGTACTTGTAGAGAAAAGTCTCGATAAAAGTTAAAGCCATAAAAAAGTAGTGCGCCCCGTAAAACAAGCGAGATATTTCAGTGCGCCCAGACCCTCCATTTTGAAAAAAGACGGAATATCGTCATTTTCGTCTTCTTTCCTATTTAATGCAAATAAATTGACAAATAACTCTTCCACTCTTATTTTTGCTTGGGAAATTTGTACTGTCAACATAACCAGTATTGTAGTCAACTGTATAAGATAAATGAAGTTTGTTTACTTTGTTTTTTGTCCTTTTTTCAGTTGGTGGATCGAACATTTTTCAAAGAGAGGTATCTCGGTATTCTAGAAACACTCTAAATTTTTATGACTGTTTTTCGTCATTTTCTTAAAAATGATGAGTTTAAGTCATAATAAAAATTTTATTTTATGACTAAAAATCGTCATTTTAAAAATGACGGATTTCAGTCTCACCCCTGACTGTTTATAAATAAGTTAAGTACAAAAGAAAGCGATTTGTAAACAGCTAGAATACCATACAAATGTCGTTAAGACTAACATTTAAGGTAAATTAATTCATGACTATTATAATATTCAATCGAATATCTCATACCAGAGTAAATTTGTTGAAATTGAATACATCTGTGTAAAAGATTCTTGGGTACACAAAGACCATAAAAACTTGCATGTAAGTCCAGTTCGCAGAAGATACTGGCACGAAAAAGATCCCTCACTGCTCAGTGGCCTAAAGAGCCGCATACAAGTCTAAATTTGGAGCCTTCACCAGACAAATGTTTAAATAAATGTTGGTGTCCCAATAATTATCAAAGGAATTCAAATCAAAGAAACAACCAATCTTCAAGGGCCTTATTTAAAAAATATACACGGACGTCTCAGAAAGCTTGTATCATAATTTCAAATCTATTTGGAAAAAGTATGTTGACCATATTTAATTGAGACAATCCATATCTAAAAATGATAAAATGTCATACACAATGTCAAAGTCATGAAGTTTAACCCATGAATAAAAGGCAGGAAGAAAAGATGTTTGAATTCTATTCATTAGGATGCAATATGCAGACTTTTTTACAACTCTTATGGTCCCATATACATCATAATACATGTAGTAAACATAGGAATATTGATAAACTGTTTATAAGATCGAAACTCAAATAAAATGCAGTGAAATTGATTGTTTTGTTTACAAGGGCCCTTTGTCTGCTCATGAGGGGTATCATGAGGAGGGCCTACGGACCTAAGCATGCTCTCTACTAGATAGAACATTCTATTGTTAAAATGATATTGTCCTACAGACCCAGTGAGGGCTTGTTCCGAGACACAGTTAGATTATTCTAATTAGCTCTCTACGTACTTAATTTCAAGACAGGTTTTAACACACTTTAAAGGTTATTGTATATTTTATTTTATTAACAAAGTGTTTCAAGAGTGTAGGATTCTTATATGCCAAAGGCATAAGGTTGATACGTCGTCGTTCTTTTAAAACATGAACTAACCCTCGGTGACCGAGACATGTTGTGGGCGCCATTTTGTTTCCAACAAAGGCTTGAAAATCAAAGAACAAAATCAGTCATTCTGATAAAAACGGATTTTGATGGAATTCTATTTTATTAAAGATGATAAAACATAAAAAAAAAAATATTGGAATAATCTTATGAAAAAACTTTCCAGTCGGAGCTTTTTATTTGGGTCGGTCGCGTTAGGGGAAACAAAGGTATTTTTTATTTTGGCCTGAGTAGTAATCATCATTTTCAAAAATGATGAATTTCAGTCTCACCCCTGAGGTTGATGGCAGTTACAGAAGAAATAATTTTATAAAAAAAAAAGATAAAAAGATTGGAATTATAAAAAATTATCTCAAGAAGTACTGGACTGAGATAGATGAAATTTATGAAAAGTATTTTTGGTCTTCAAATCTTGGTCCCTAGGGGTAGGATGGGGCTCCAATGGAAGAGTGTGATGGTAGGGAAAAAAATCAAAAATATTAAGCACAACAAAGCAAGGATAAGAATGCAACTGTCCTCATTCCTCATATATAATTTTAAGTTTTTAAAATCATGGTTCTTGTACATATATACATAGATGGGGCAAAAATTGAAATCAAACTTTTACATGGACATATGTAGGAAAAAATCTTTGAAAATGTTCTTCTCAAGAATAGCAGATCTATTCACAAGCAAGTCTCCTTGGCTGGGTTAGGTGAAATCTGTTCTCATCACAATTAGAGATCAAAGTTTTACCACAAAATCCTCTAAAACTTCTTCCAAAGAACAGCATAACCATGATATGTCCTATTATTAAAAGAAATATGGCAGCATCTTTGTGCAGGTAGTGTGGATTCAAGTTTGTTCATATCAAAGCCCCATTTGGCATGAGATGATTCCATTAAATGGAATCAGGATTTAACATTGAAATAGGAAATTTAAAAAAGGAGTAACAAGCTGAAATTATATATAATGATGCAGACATTTTATCAAAAAACCTCAATATTTTCAATTTCTGTTGATTTAGAATATTGCTCTCTGAAAATTGAGCCTTCAATACCTACTAGTAAATTGCTTTCTGAAAATTGAATATACACAGAAAAGATAATTTTAAAATAGATTTGTTACTCTACATTGTATTTGTTTCAGTTGTAGAAGAGATACAAACATTGAAGAATTCTGACCCTGTGAATGAGAAGGAAAAAGACCAACAGCAGAAAATAATGAAGGTAAATCAAGCATAGGGGTTTTGCATTAAGGTGCTTTGTCCCAAACTAAAGATCATGCTCATCTGTTTTTACATCCATTACTGTAGATTCTTAAATATATGTGAGGCATTAATTATAGCGAAGGAGAGGGAGGTAAACTGTTTTACCCTTGTGTTTCTGTCTAGCTGTCTGTCTGTGCATCTGTCCATCCCCATAACAAATTTTCGTTGCAGTTTTCTCAGCAACTACTCAAGGCAGATGCTTGAAATTTTAGTACACTCTTTGTTCTGACATGCCATATGCTGGGATTCAGTTTTAAATGAATCTGATGTTTATCCGTCCGTCTGTCTGTACCAAATTTCGGTCACAGTTTTCTCAGCAACAATTCATTGCAGAGGCTTGAAATTTTAGCACACTCTTTGTCTAATCATGCCATATGGTGGGATTCATGAGAGCATATTCACATCAGAGTGGGGTATTACTAGTGAGCATTGGCTCGCAGACTTCTTGTTATGTAATTTTGCAAGAAGCACTACTTGTGGAATAAAATTACAGGCTTTTTTTATGGTGCTGAAGTCCATGTAAAATCTCTTGGTCAACCAATCACTCATTGATTTAATCCTCTCATGATTTGAAGTCTAAGAGCCATTCTGCAATATTAGGTACTCACATAAAACAAAGAATCTTCAGTATTACTTCTATGCTTCTATGGGGCATGAAAACAGATTTTGCAAGGAGGTTATGGAAGTTTTTTGTTTATCTTTAAAGTCATAGGTCTTACCATCAACTTTAAACTTTGTACACCCAAAAGTTTAAAAAAAAAAGTGGGGGGAGGGGGTCTAATGGAATCAGCATGTCTATCTGTCCATTAATCTAGCTGCATCTGTCAATAGACATGTTTTTTCATGGACATGCGCTTGGAGACCAGCCTTCTATAAATCCTGGGAGTCCAGTGCCTGGGACTGGGTAAACTGGGTAAAGTTGAAAGCGGGCATGTAGAAATTACATACTGACGCGGCTAGGATAAGGCTGTCCGAAGAATGTCACATTATACCAGCTGTAGTAACTTCTCTGAACTACCTAGATATGACGTCATAATGGCATATGACGTCAAGTCACTGCAAATTTGAGCAGACATGACGGGGAAAGTGTCATTACTTTTACATTCGTATCATATCACATGTAGAATTTTTTTATGTTGATGTTTAATTCATGTGTTTTGATTGTTGTTTTATGGCTGTTTTGATGGTGAATATTTGTGGTATAATATCGTTATTCCTTTTTCTTGTATAACATGTACGTGTTCAAACAATTACAAAAAAGATTGTGAAATGCTCCCCTTTACACGTCCTAAAACTGAGTTAGAATTTATAAATCTATAGATAGAACTTCTTACGGTGATACCATATCTGAAAAAAAAAACAATTTCTCGACCTTGGCCTTTTCTTTGAACTTGACCTCTCTTTTATTCCACTAATATTTGACTCAGTTTCAAACAAACAATGCAAGACATTTTTATCAGATCTTATTTGCTTAAATACATTGAGGAAAGTTATTAGCTTCTTCAGCATTAAACATCTTGAATTTTCATTTTACCTTGACCTCAATTTTTTAAATTTATACCCCTGGCAAATGAAGCTTGAGAAGGTACATGTATATGTATATATTTTCCATCTGTTAGTCTATACAACTGTCTGTCTGATTGTCAATGAAATCTTGTCTGGGCTATAACTTTGTTATGGAGAAACACTGGAAGCTCTTACAACAGAGATTGCTTATGAACCAAAGATATGTCATGTCCTTAACCCAAGGTTATATTTGCAAAGTACATGTCATCGTCAAAAAGTATTAAAAAAGTAATATATACATTTCCAAGTATTTTTCCTTAAGATTCTTTGCAAAATAGAAGATTGTTCATTTTTAGCTCTACTGGTCAGAGACCAGAAGAGCTTATGCGATAGTAAGGTGTCCATCGTCCGTCCGTCTGTCTGTCTGTCTGTCTGTCCGTCCGTCTGTAAACAGTTTTTCAAAATGCTACTCCTCCTACAGTTTTGGTCTGATTTCAGTATAACTTGGCACACAAGTAGACTACACTAAGATACATAATTCTGTGTATCGGTTTTTGATTTCAATGAACGGTGTTGCCATGGTTACTAAAAATAGAAATTTCTGTGAAAAACATTCAAAATGCTACTCCTCCTACAATTTCGGTCTGATTTCAATATAACTTGGCACACAAGTAGACTAAACAAAGATACATAATTCTGTGTATCGGTTTTTGATTTGGATGAACGGTGTTGCCATGGTTACTAAAAATAGAAATTTCTGTGAAAAACATTCAAAATGCTACTCCTCCTACAGTTTTGATCTGATTTCAATGTAACTTGGCACACAAGTAGAATATACTAAGATACATAATTCTGTGTATCAGTTTTTGATTTCGATGAACGGTGTTGCCATGGTTACTAAAAATAGAAATTTCTGTGAAATACTTTCAAAATGCTACTCCTCCTACAGTTTTGATCTGATTTCAATATAACTTGGCACACAAGTAGACTATACTAAGATGTGTAATTCTGTATATCAGTTTTTGATTTCGATGAACGATGTTGCCATGGTTACTAAAAATAGAATTTTCTGTGAAATGCTACTCCTCTTACAGTTTTGGTCTGATTTCAGTATAACTTGGCAAACAAGTTGACTACACTAAGATACATAATTCTTTATATTGATTTTCTGATTTCGATGAACATTGTTGCCATGGTTACTAAAAATAGAAATTTCTGTGAAATACCTTCAAAATGCTACCCCTACAGTTTTGGTCTGTTTTTAGTATTACTTAGCTCACAAGTAAAGTACACAAAGATACATAATTCTCTGTACCAGTTTCTGATTTCGATGAACAGTGTTGCCATTGTTACTAAAAATAGAAATTTCCTTGAAATTCCTTCAAAATGCTACTCCTCTTACAGTTTTGGTCTAATTTTAGTATAACTTGGCACACAAGTAGACTATACTAAGATGCGTAATTCTGTGTATCAGTTTTTGATTTCTATGAACGATGTTGCCATGGTTACTAAAAATAGAATTTTCTGTGAAATACTTTCAAAATGCTACTCCTCCTACAGTTTTTATCTGATTTCAATATTACTTGGCACACAAGTAGACTATAATAAGATACATAATTCTGTGTATCGGTTTTTGATTTCAATGAACGATGTTGCCATGGTTACTAAAAATAGAAATTTCTGTGAAATACTTTCAAAATGCTACTCCTCTTACAGTTTTGGTCTGATTTCAGTATAACTTGGCAAACAAGTTGACTACACTAAGATACATAATTCTTTATATTGATTTTCTGATTTCGATGAACATTGTTGCCATGGTTACTAAAAATAGAAATTTCTGTGAAATACCTTCAAAATGCTACCCCTACAATTTTGGTCTGATTTTAGTATTACTTAGCTCACAAGTAAAGTACACAAAGATACATAATTCTCTGTACCAGTTTCTGATTTCGATGAACAGTGTTGCCATTGTTACTAAAAATAGAAATTTCCTTGAAATACCTTCAAAATGCTACTCCTCTTACAGTTTTGGTCTAATTTTAGTATATCTTAGCACACAATTAGACTACACTAAGATACATAATTCTCTGTACCAGTTTTGTTTCAATGAACGGTGTTGCCATGGTTACTAAAAATAGAAATTTTCTTGAAATACTTTCAAAACGCTACTCCTCCTACACTTTTTGTCTGATTTCAGTATAATGTGGCATACAAGTAGACTACAGAGATACATAATTGGTGTTATTGTTTTTTGATTTTGTTGAATGATGTTGCCATGGTTACATAAATCAAAATTTCTGTAAAATTGTTTTAAAAGGCTACACCTCCTGCAGTTTTAGTCTGATATAATAATAAATCTTGCCACAAAAGAGACTAAACCAAGGATCATTATTCTGTTTATTGCTGTTGCAAAGTTTCAAGTCAAAGTGCTACTTTTATCTTCCTTTATAAATACAACCAGTAGAGCTACAGTCTCATCAGAGACTTCTGGTTTCATAAACTACCATGAGATGAGCATGAATATTTCCATTGTTACGTCATAATACTGTACTTGACGTCAAAACTATAGTGCAAACTGTTTTGCTTCAAAAATGACAGTTGAATGGCGTAACTTGTGGAAACTCATCAGAAAAATAATTTCAATATAAGAAATGAATTTAATTTTTGAAAAGTCATGAGGTACATGAACTACAACGCTTCACTCCGGCATATTTATCATGAAGCACTAACACACTTCATGAAATATGCTGGCGTGAAGTGTCGTAGTTCATGTCCTCTTGAATCTTCAAAAATTAAATTCATTTCTTAATTGTCCTAACTAAACTTTGTAGTGGGAAATTATTGGATGCTCATACTTGGTACAAAGATTGTTTTTAACCTGAAAGTGTGGCATGACTTTGGGCAAGAATATTCCTGGAAGTTCAAGGTCTCAGGTATAAAAATCATCACAGGCCTATACATTTTGTAATGGAGAGACTTGCAAGTCCGAATTTCTCTGAAAGATTACTAATGACAAGAGGATATGTCGTTTTCCTTAACCAAGGTCTTTTTGGGAAGTTCAAGGTTACATTTACAAAATTTAAATGAGCACTTTAAAAAAAAACTTGTGGTGGGGAGGGGTGGGTGTATTATTTTGTGAGCTCGCTCACAGTACCTCCAGATTGTGTTTAGCTTTATTTAAAAAAAAAATATTCAATATGTTTATTACACCTTATATGCTAATAAATTGGAAGGAGGTTTTCAACTTCATCAACATTTTTTTACCTACCATTCCTTTGACCTTGATTTTACTTTCTCAAATTTGTGTTTAGCTCAGTTTTAAGAAACAAATCAAGATATTTTGTAGTGAAAGCAAGATTTCAGTCACTTATGTACTAGTCAAATTGTACTTTGAATGGAAAAAAAGTAATTATACACAAACCTGATTTGTTTTACTGAATCATTACGAGACAAAATTATCTTTCATGTGTGTGTACTACAGATAAATATAATCAAGCTAAAATTTTGCATCCATACTGCTTTTTTATAACACTGTTAAATATGCTCTAAACATCAAGACCAAATGTTTATTTGACGGTCAGCACAAGCATCAAACAATAAGTACAAGTAAATACACAGGGACTAGAAGCTAAATGTCAATCAATTTCAAGCACCCAATGAGGGACCTTAACTCACTTGATTGATGTGGGTATGCAGACCAGATATTTCTGAGGGCGGTACTTATTATATCAAGTTTTAAATAAAAAGACGATATTTTGCACACTGTTGGTTCATTCATGTGGAATGATTGACATCTGCAGTACATAAGATCATCAAACAAGTTTCTTGATAAAATTGCATTAAAAGAAATGATTTTGTTATGTTTTCAGGGGAGTGAGGCTGCTCTATCAACCTGATCAACACATTTAAAGCAATAATGAAAAGTCAACATTTATGGTGAGAATGACAGTCAGAAAAAGAATGTAGAGATGCACATCAGTACTCATGGAAGGAAAAAGACTAATAAATGTAGCATTTGTTGAAAAACATTAAGTCGAAAAACCATATAAATTTGATGTGTGTGGAAGAGCATTCTCTATATTAGTGCACCTACAGAGGTACATGAAGATACATACTGGTGAGAAAAAGATGATGAATATTATGTGTTTCAGAGGAAAATCAGAGAAAAATCAGATTTAAAGGTACATTTGTGGACACACGAAAGTGAAAAACAAAGGATTTCTTATTAAGCACCTGACTCTTAAAAAGATCCAAGGTCACCTAGGGTTGAAAAACTTTCCAAGTATAAAGAGACATGCAGTCAGTCAAATAACATGGAGATACCAAACAACACTTATCTGGAAAAAGCTTTACATCAATGTGATGTTTGTTGGAGGGTGTTTAGTAAATCTGGGAGTTTAACGAGACACAGGAAGATGCATTCAAGTGAAAAACCTCATATATGTGACAAGTGTGGAAAAGCATACATTGAAAGAGGGCATTTGATTGGACATATGAAGACACATAATGATAACAGTCTTGTAACCTTTGCTGAAAAAGAACGCTTGAACAGACGCCTGATGGCGCATACTCGGAAAAAGTCTTTTAATTGTGGCAAGTGTGGAAAGTTCTTTGGTACAAAAAACTACTTACAGAAGCACATGAGGAGACAGGCATGTGAGAAGCTGTTGAAATGTGATGTGTGTCTGGAGGTCATTGCAAAATTTGATTTAGAAAGACACATGAAAACACATCAATGTAAAAACCCATTTGTTGATATGTGCAAGATGGTAAATTATCAAACTGGGCGGTTTGATGAACCAGTAAGGATTTCTATTTATAGAGGATCCTTTCTGTGCAAAGTGTGTGGAAAGATGGTCACTTGCATGGAGAGCCACATGAGGACACACACACATGGGAAACCTTACAAATGTAATGTATATAAGGAAGCCTATAATCTAAAAACACCCTTGCCTACACATACAGGGACACATACATGTAACATACCCTATAATTGTGATGTGTGTAGGAAAGTATTCATCCAATTAGGACAATTAGAGAGACACAAAGAGACACACAAAATTAATAGGCCTTATTTATGTAGTTTATGCGGAAAGGCATACACACACTCACATAACTTACATATACACAAAAGGACACATACAGGTGAAAAACCTTATCAGTGTGATTTGTGTGGGAAATCTTTCATAAAATCATCTAACTTAAAGATACACATTAGGACACATACTGGTGAAAAACCTTATAAATGTGATTTGTGTGGGAAGGCATTTATCCACTCAGGTGAATTAAGTAGACACACAAGGACACATACAGGTGAAAAACGTCATAAATGTGTTGTATGTGGAAAGGCATTTTACCGATCAGAACAATTAAAGAAACACGTGAGGAAACATACAGGTGAGAAACCTTATAAATGTGATGTCTGTGGAAAGGCATTCAACCAATCAGGTTATGCAAAGCTACACATGAGGAGACATACTTGTAAAAGAACCTTAAAAATGTGATGTGTGTAAAAAGAGACTTTACCGATTATGTTCTTTACAGAAACACAAGACGACACATACTGTACAGGTAAAAAAAAAACTAAAAACTTCTCAGAACACCTGACAGTTGAGGAGACATTGAGTCAATTTTATGTGTGTGAGAAGGCATCTTACAAACGTTTAACGATCCTATGTTTTACAGAGACACAGGAGGACACATACTGATAAGAAAACTATAAATGTGATTTGTGTTAGACGGCACACAAGTGAACAGATCACTTACAGACACTTTAGAGAAAACAAACATACCTTGTAATGTGTTGGAAGGCTTTCTCTTTTTCAGATTCCATATAAAAGCACCTGAGAGAACATACTGGTGATAAACCTTATAAATGCGATGTGTGAGTGAAAAGGCATTCTACTGACTGGATATCTTACTTACACGCATGGACATGTAAAGGTGATAAAATATATTAAATGTATGTGGAACGACATTTACCCGATTACTTGACTTAAATGTGTATTGTACTTGGGAAGGTATTCAGTCCAGTTAAATAAGAATTTTACAGAGACGCATAACGATACATACAGGACACTTCAACCAAATAAATCTGTATGTGTGAAAGCATACATTTAGCATATAAACACGTAAAGATAACATATATGAACATGTATGCTAGTGAAACTTCCTATGAAGGTGAGGTCTGTTGAAAAGAAGTTTATCAGACGTTGGAGAAAACCCCTTTTCTATGTGACAGTGGAAAGTTTGAAAGATTGATCTGAACATTAACAGATATACTTAAGGACACATTTACAGATGATGATCCTAATAAAGGTGATGTGTGTGGGAAAAAGTTCGGGAGTTTGGATGTAATGAAATAACATGTAATTTTTGTGGAAAGATAGTCAATGATTCAAAGGGTTTACAGAAACACATGAAAATACACAAAGGAGAAAAACTTCATTTATGTGATGTGTACGTGGAAAGGCATTGATTGAGAAAGAACACTTGAGACATGAAGATACATTCATGTACATTTGGATAAAAAGGTGATACATTTGATAAACAACAACAGACGTGATGTGTTTTGAGGACATTCACTTACTTTACTAGACACTAGAAAACACATCTAGGAGTATACATATTTGTGATGTGTTTTGAGGACATTCACTTACTTTATGAGACACTAGAAAACACATCTAGGAGTATACATATTTGTGATGTGTGTGGAAAAGTGTTTATTAAAGACACCGTTGAAAATACACATGAAGTTATATTAAAAAGTTATATTAAAAAGGTAGTGAACATGTACATTTTATCTGTGTAGAAAAAAATTAGCAAAGGACACTTGAAAAGTCCCATCAAAACTCACACTGGTGGAAAAAATGTGATTATGATTTGAGTGGGAAATGATTTATGCTCTTAAGTTGTTCCTTTCAATCTGCAAATAAGTGTTATTTGTTTTAGAGAAAGTGTTATTTTGTTTTAGAGAAAGTGTTATTTTGTTCAGTGAAAAGGCAGACTGAAAGATCATATGAATTTAACGTGAAAAAGAGTCATAACTGTGAAGTGCTTGGGGTGTATATAGACACATAGAATTACAGGGAGGTGAAAAGCAATGAAAACGGTAATTAATCAGGGTTACTTTCATACATACAGTGTATACAGCCTAACAAAGAGATGCTACATTTATAATAATGAAGCACGGGTTAAGAGTAGAAATTGAAATCAGTTACTAGCAGATAAAAAAAAAAAATTTAACAGACATGACTGATTATTACTGTACATGTAATCCTGGCAGTGCGATGTGCTCTCATGAGGTCAATTTGACTTTGGAGAAAAAGATGACCCCCTTTTCAAGAATTAACTTTAAGGCATCTGAAAATATCCTCATTTAGACTGTTTAACATCATGATTTCCTGCGTTTTCTATGATTTTCTTTACATTTTTAATATTGTGCCGAAAGTGCATATTTGTAGATATAATTATATATTTTTTTAATGAAATGAATCACTTAAAATCCGTTTTATGTATTTAGTTTTCTGCTGATGTGTATTCATGAGAAATTATATTTCTACATAAATTTATTTTAATTAGGTTGTTGCTTTTTTATTTAATTTTGTCAGCTGATGCATCTTGAGTCCTTGGAGTGCATCAACTAAAAAGTAGGTCATGCTGACCTATACCTGTGATATTTCAAGGCTTTATCAATATTTTGGATAAACAATCGCTTAGAATCATCAAGTTTCTCAGTTGATACATCTTCGGTTCTCAAAGCATGTCAACCAAAAAGTAGGTCACAGTGGTCTACTTTTGATATCTGTATCTAATTATTTCAGATAATAAGAGGCTTGAAATCGTAAAGCTTTTCGAGATGATACTTCTTGGGTCCTTGGAGTATTGAACCAAAAAGTAGATCACCATGACCTATTTTAAGAATTTCATACTTTTAATTCAATATTTGGGATACGAAAATGCTTAAATTCCTCGAACTTTGTTAGTTAATAAATTTGGGTCCTGAGATTGTGTCAACCAATCACAATCAAACAAATATAGGTCACAGTGACCTACTAATGGAGCAAGGCCATTTCTAAATATTTGGATGAAAAGAAGCTTGAATGATATCTTTGTCTTTTGATGCATCTTGAGTTCTCAGAGTGTGTAAATCCTAAAGAAAGTCATGAAACCTATTTTTAAAATGTCAAGGCTTAATCTAAATATTTACGGGTTTTTTCTTTCTTTTTTTAAAGATATATATGCATTTATTAAAAGCAAAGCACGAAGGCGTACAACGCAAAGTCCCTGCTCTGAGACAAGATATTTCTCAGTTCTAAATGTTCAATAGAAAGTTCTTTTTTTTCAAAAAATGCCTCATCAAGTCATCTTTTACACATTTTATTCCATAATCTTATAAAATTACTAATAAATAATTTATTGTCCTCTTATGTTTAAAGGTAACAATTAGATAGCCTCATACATGATTAGCATCAGTTTTAAATATTAATTTTTAAAACACATCACAGGTTAATTTCCGTATAAATAGTAACTATGAAATTGTAAAAAAAAATAATAATAATAATAAAAAATAAATTGAACAGGAGTAAATGTAAAAATAGATTTGGAAACATTGGGACAAATGTTATTAAGGTAATATTTAGTGTATATACATGTATTACGTTTAGAGAGATTCGGTCAGGGCATCCTGTATTAATGATGTAAGTTATAATATTGCAAATAGAAATCCAAGAAACCAATCCAAACATGTTATAATACATTTCGACGGAACACCCGATAACTAAAATTAAATATACAAATGCAGGGGAAAATTGCTTCCATTCAAAAACTTCTCATTTACAATTTTTGTGCGGAAGGACTTAAAGTCTGATAATGACATTTAGGAGAAACATGGACATATAAAGACTTAACACCTTAATTATATATTACTTGTTAAATTTGTGCGAACTAGAGTATGAAGCAATCGATATATATGGATAAGTGAAAATAAAAATCAGATAACAGGTATAGTATAATTGAGGACGTGACAAGTTAACATATACACTGAATACAAATGAATTATAAAAGAACATGGGGCTAGCTAGATTTTCGAAAACAGAACAGGGACTCCAAAAGAGGCGAAGTTCTATAAAGATTTTGCAAATGATGAAGATTAAAAGAGATTTCTAGATGTCACGTGGGGCAGTTGGGATCAAAATCAATTTACTGACAATTGTACAAAACTGAATGCAAACATAGAAACCCACTTTAGTTTTTATGTTGAATTTCATATTGCGAGTAATGCTGTCTGTCTCCATCCGTGTGTGTGTGTGTTTGTCAATCTCTATTTTTCTTAAAAAAGACGTTAATAGTGATCTAACAACCAAGTTTGATGATAAACGTGATGACTTTGACTTTTCAATCATATACTAGTGATACATGTAATCCCATTAGAAAAATTGTCAATCCTTCAAATATTACAACTGCTAGAAGGATATGTTTCTTTAAAAAGAAGTTTGAACCAAAAAAAGAAAGTCAGCAATGAAAACTTAGAAATATGTGAATATGCTCTACATTATTTTGTTTGCCTCACATTTGTCACGTTGTATATGCAGGTATATGTTTTATGTTATTATTGTTCATGACCGTATGCCGACATTGTATTCAAAACATTGGGGGGGGGGGGGGGGGGGCTCTTGAAGCTTTTCATATTTTTCACAACTCGATAAATTTTTGATGAGGAAAATTTTTATAAGCATTTTAATTTTTTGTGTGTTTTTTTTAATTACTCTTACTTTCCAGTAAATATTTTCTTTTAAAAATTAAAGTATTGTGGGCTTGTTTGCATGGTTGTTTATAAAATTTAAAAAAAAAAATGATGGCAATTGAAAGATTCAGACAGTATTTCTAGATTAGCTTAAATATACACGTGTATGTATAATGGAACCTCGTTAATCTGAGCGCTTCACCTTCTGGAAGCGATTGGTGGGAAACAGTTATAAATCTATCAATAATAGAAGAGGTTTTTTTTATTAGTCCGGGCGCTGGAACTCAAGTGTCTGAATTAACGAATATTCATACAATACACATGTAATATTTAGTCATTAAAAAATTACATCATGCAAATAATTCATTACACTTATTTATACCACTAAGCAATGCCTAAAAATGTACGCTGCATGAAGTTAGCTTGCCTCGTATATAATTAATATTTGAGTTAACTTTATTATGTCCATTAGGATTATGCCTACAATTAAGATAAACCATAACTTGTACTTGTAGCACGTTGTCTGTTAGATTGATGGTTGATATAGTGCCCCAAACCAAAATTAAAATTTTGCAAATAATTTTGTACATTACATGTACGATGTAACATGAAAAAAATATATATATAATTATTTTTTTTTTTTAATTAAATAAATTTATGCACATAATTTGTAATTTAATAACAGAGTTTATTCAAACACTTGAATCTATTGATCCTAGTCGTAATTTCTTATTTAGTTGAAATGTGTTTCCTAATTTTATTCTTTAGGAGTTCTCATTAAATATCGGGATCGACATTTCGGTTTGTTTACACCAAAAATACCAATGGCTGGAGTTCACGTGTTCCCACTCGAGTTCAGGTAGCAGGTAATTTTTTTCCCATCAAAAAAATCTTATATTCCCTTGCACAAACATGTTCTTGAAAACAATATATTAATACAAGAAATCTAGATATTGCTGAAAAACTTAAAAAGATAGGAAAATTGAGTTTCAAGTTTCAAGTTTTTATTTAAGACAAAGACCCCAGCTGGGGTATATGAATGCAAATGATACAACAAAATAACATACAAGCATGAAATGAGTGGCACTAATGTTGATTACTATATACATGTACATGTATAGTTCAAAAAAATCAAAGTATAGAAGGCCTCTGCTAGTATTAAATAAATCATTACAACATATTTTAAACAGCTGTTTTGTTATTATTAATTTATTACTGACAATAAAATTTTGCAAAATTTGGCAAGTCCAAAAATGACTTTAGTGTCCTTAAAATTTAATAGGTCATGAAATTAAATAACATTAGGGTTAGCATAAAAAATATTTGGAACAAGTTTTTTTCGTTCTCTTTTGAAAAATGCACATTCTAAAAGATAGAGGAATTCATCTCCTAAATTGTTAGAGGTACAAAAATCACAAATTCGATCATCTCTGTCAACACCCCAAAAGCGACCTTTCTCAATTGGAAATCTGTGATTCATACATCTAAATTTACATAAAGCTTTTCTCAAATCTTTTGGAAGATAAATCAAATATTTTTCAAAACTATGTTCTAATTTAAATAACCTATAATTAAGAGTATTAGTCTATTACACGTTTAGTGTAACGAGTTAACCCCCCTTGCCCAGGCCATCATTAGAAAAAAAATTGTTTCACTTTGAAGTACTAATCCAAATTTTCAAGGTAGGTACATTTAGGTAGGTTTTTTTTTTGGTGAAATATTGATAAATGTCATAAGAGTCACAGACTTGGAAATTTTTGGATGTCTTCATTATACATAATTATAATATTAATTAATTGAGTTAAAACCTTCAATCTAAAAAGCATCATAAAAAATTAATAATAGACCTTGATTTAAAAAATGATATTGACAATCTTTGGCTGAAAGGAAAAAAAAATGGAAAAAATTTAAGTACTAAAAAAAGCAGGTCAGGCACAACCTCTTGATTAAGCTATATATAGCTTGAATTAGATATATAGCTTTTTTAAGCTATTCATAGGGCAGTAACAAGGGTTATCCATCCTTGTCTGTCACTAGCTAGATTTTGTAGTGTGCCCCAACTTCTCTTTTGTTCTTTAAGTTCGGCTTCCATTGTCCACCGCCAAGTGACTTTGGGCCTTCCTGATCCTCTATTCCGTTTTCCCTCTGGTGTCCAGAAGAGAGCTGTCTTTATGATGCTGTCTGAGTCCCTTCTAAGTACATGGCCAAGCCAATTCAATCGTTTTCTGATGATAATTGTGGCTATGTCCTCTTGCTGGCACCTGTTGAGGTCCTGATTTGAGATGGTATTGGGCCAAAATATTCTTAAGATCCTTCACAGGGACTTTGTATGGAATGTCAACATTTTGCTCAGGTCGCTTTCTGTCATTCTTCAACACTCTGATCCATACAAAAGGATAGGTAGATTGCAGATTTTGTATAAATTGAATGAATTAAATTATAAACATGATCATGAAGGAAGTCAGGAAGACAAGGACAAGATATCTCCTGCTCTGACCCTATCTTCACCCTACAGCTAGTCTAAGAGCAAAATTGTGTGGGTCCTATTCTTTTGGCAAAGTCGTTAATTAAGGTAGTACCTAGAATGTATCCATTTTTATGGTTGCTTTTCTTTTCTAAAACTTTTGCAACAACCTTAAACAGTAAACTGACATACACGGTCGTATTATTCTTGAGGACTGTAGTTCTGCTGATATAAGCCCTACTACAGGTGTATATAAACAAAGGAAAAAAAGTATAAACACAAATTTAAATGTTTGCATGCAAAAAAAGAATATTC